AACACATGTAGTGTTATCACCAGAGTAGCTAGAACACAAAGGCTTAGTTGTTGCTTAAACACAACCTTTACCAGTTGTGATACATCCTTTTTGATAGGCCTTACAGTCATCATCAGTAGATAAAGATGTTGGTGCATTTGCGCATTCCTTTGCTTTACAGTTTGTTGTTCCAGTTGCTAATTCACAATTTCCATCTGATCCAATATAGGATTAACAAGCAGCATCATCTCCAGTGTATGTAGTACATGATGGTCTTGGAGAGTTAACACAACCTTAACCTTTTGTCACACAACCAGCTAACCAATCTGAACATTTAATATCAGTATTCAAGCTGACATCAGCTTCAGAACAGGAGTAATCTCTACATGTTCCAGCAGTTGTGTCCCATTTGCATTTCAGAATTCCTGAAATACTTGGGGTTGTTTCACATTATGTTTGTGAGTATTCTTTACAGATCTTAGCTTCAATACATGCATTTCCATCAGACACACATAAATAGGATATTGCTTAGCAATCTGTTGTTGTTGATTTAACATATGCTTGACATCCTGCAAAATGTGTACATTTTGAGTCAAGATAAGCACAGCCCAAGGTTTTAGCACAATTTGTTTCTGGCTTATCAACAAGTTCACAATAAGGTTTGAATGAGGTGGTAGGGTCTACTGTTGTCTTTTTCTGACATTTTGCTGCTGTAGTTCCAGATGCAGCCACCCATTCACATGCTCCTGAGACTGTTTATTCTTATTCACAATCACTTTGCGATTTCAATTAACCACAGTCATTACATTAGTTTTTCTGTTGCACTTACTATGATAGCACCATAGCAATTAAGCAAATGAGAATTAAATTCTTCATTAAAAAGTATTAAATGTTTATCTATTGATTAAGGGAGTTAAATAGAAACAGGGCGAATTTAATATTTTCAAAATTAATTTACCTCATAAATATAAATAATTATTTGATTATTACAAATTTGACAGCAGTGTTTCAATAAAGAGGCCTCTCAGTTCTCTACTATCTAGCTTAAGATTCTATTATTTTAATAAAGTGAGGGTCTTTTAGGTTCAACAAACTATCTCAATTACCCCATTAATACTTTTCTTAGAAATAATATTCTATTATAGATATCACAACGCTTAAAAAAAAGGTTTATGATACAAAATGTAAGCAAATTCGATTTCAGTAATTTTAGAAAGATGCGATATATATGGAAATAAAAAGATAGTTTTTAAGAAAAAGGTTGTGAAAAGAACACTTTATTTATGGTAAAATTCATTTGAAAAACAATAGAATCTCTTTTAGACTCAGATTTTAGCACTTATAAGTATTTGAGAAAAATTCTGAACAAGTAGAAATAAAAATCCAAAATAAATCAGAACAACTGTATAATATTATGAATATAAAATTTTAAGTATTATAAAGGAAAAGGAGAAAGCTGACTGATAATTAGTTTTCATAATGTTCCCTGATAAGAATGATAATCATTATCCATGTCAATAAATATTATATGAATCTTAAGTAAATCCAATTTTTTTCAGAAAGCTTGAATTGAATTTAAAATCCTTACAAACAATTAAATTCTAACAATGATTTTTTCAAAAGGTCTTATCACTATAGAAATATTTGTCCATTTTCATAAAATGTTGAATTTTTAAATATATAATTCTACTATGAATATCTAACTGCCATAATGGAATATTAACATTGAATAGAGGTTTTATAGGCTATGTTATAATAATTTGATAAATAAGATCACAAATATTGAAGAACTTGGTTGATTGAGAATCTCTAGTATTACGTGTTATAATAATTTAATTAATTATATTATATTGTATGAATCCACTTAATATATAAAGTGAAAATAAAGACTCAGAAGTAAAAGAAGACGAAGGGGTTTAGAATGAGTAGGAAGAGCCTAGGACATTCACTAATTTAAGTATTGAGGACAAGATCAAGTAAAAGAAGATCAATGATGATCATCTTGAGAGAAATAAAAAGAGATTAATTAGATAATTTACAATTCTATTCATTATCACCCTATTCATTATATTAGAAAGAATTCTATATTCAATTATCATAGGGGTTGAGAATGAGCTTTTGAGTGATTTCCAGAACCTATTCAACTTAAGAAAATCAAAATTGACTGAGTTTGATGAAATGGATTATTTTAATGATAATTTTTTATTTGATATGGCAGGGAGTGTACATAGAAATGGTATCTCTATTATGATATTCACAAATTACTTTATTACCTTATATGTTGGATTTGATGCATTGATCGCTGTTAAAATATTGTATACATCTTTTTTGAGCGTGTTTTTGGTAGCATTCTTATAATTGATATATTCAGATCCGAGACCATTTTGGGTGGATGAGAAGGTATAGTCATTTATAAGAATAAGTTAGTGACTTCACTTTGTATACCAAGTTATGGAAATCCATCATCATTTGTTTGCCAATTGGCATTCACTTTGTTTTATACCGTATATTGTTACAAGACTAAGAATCATACAAGGTCATTTAAGACTTATGATGAGAAGATCGATAGAAAAGTAAAAATAGTTTAACTCTGCATATCACTCTTTATTTTTCTGTATTCTATATTGTTATTTTTAATGGCTTTATAATATTTGATAAATATGATATTAGGTTTGATTTATTGTTTTGTATTTTATGCATTTTATGTGACCTTTGAGAATTAGATCAACAATATAATAAAGCATTCCACCATAATGAACATAGTAATAATATTAAATTTAAGATTTTAGGATTCAAAGCGATATGTATTTTACATATCCTTCTTCCTGTTGATAACGGAAACGATAGCAGCCATGTTGATATCCAACGAGTATGAATTGGTCAACATAGAATGGGCCAATAATTTTATGAATTGTCTCTACATGACAGATATCAATGCAATGAAAATACCTGCGTAATTGTTGATGGGACCTCACTTTACATTCTAAAAAACGAGTGTGATCTTTGCTTTGATTGGCGCTTTGTTTGGAGTTTCACATTGCTTTAGACACATAAATTCACTGGAATGGTACAAGGGAGATAAGAGAAGAAGAGTTCTAAGAATAATAGTGGCTAACTTTTTTACGATCCCAGGGTGGATTTTTGCATTGAATGTGGAATCGATTGCTTTGAATAGTCGAATGTATGAATGGGGAGCCTCGTTCTTTTTGGTAATGTCATTGATTTGATAGTTTATAGATGGAGAGTGTGGCGTTTTTGTTGTTCTATTTCTTTATGTTCGCTATGATCCCATTGTATGTGTTCAAATATTTACATTTGAATGCTTCTAGTTCATCATCGTATGTGGTGGTTAAATTATCTGATGATGATTGATTTTGTTATTTAATTATTATAATAAATATAATGGCTTAGTAGAAAGGGAAGAATAAAATAAATCATAGACAGCGGTAGGGAGATTGGATTTGTGGTAGCTGCAATAATATGAATTTTGCATTTAGAGACACTTGCAATAGATGCCATACGTTGAAGAATTATAAAGATAATGAAAATAAGGGATTCAAATCTGCTTTGTTTTTGACAGAGAGCAATGGTGATATTCCACCAATATCTGATAGATCTAATAAATCTTCTGGGGAGAAAAAAGATAATGGCAACAATAAGTTCTCATTTGATAAATTACCATCGATGGAACCAATCTTGAAATAGATCACAAAAGAAACATGTAAAAAACAATTAAATTAGAAGAACAAAAATATGATTTATTTGAGTTTGAATGGTAGTGCTAAAAATGCGAAAAAGATTTAATTAATACTATAAAATTCACTGTGCTGAATGCGGAGCTCAAAAGGTACAGAAAATTAACAGTATGGATTTTATAACCTAAATGGGGGTTTTTTTTGATAAAAATGCTTTAAATTCTCTTCTTTTTAATCTCAATTTTAGAAGGGGGTTAAACAAAGATAAAACAATATAATAAATAAATTATTTTTTACTTTATTAATAAAATCTAACTGTTAAGATAATGAAAGACATGTCCAAGAAGATCTTTGAAAAAGAGAATTAAGCTGAGGTCTCCAATAACCCTAGGCATTAGAATAAATCACTAACCCAATTGGTTTCACTATCCTTGATTGGTGGAAATAGAAGTAATATTAAATAAAATATCCATAAGAAAATGACTTGAAAGCTCTAGAACTTAAAAACAATTACACCTCTATTTCCTCTCATCCCCTCGTGTTCTGTAAACCAGAAACTAAACTAAAAACCCAAACCACTTCCTCTCCATAAAAATAATCCCCTGTAAAGCCCAAATAAGTGGAAACACAATCAAATGAGTTGTGTAAGTTGATCAACAACTATTCAGAACCCATTCTAGATTATTATTTGGAATTGAACGTATTTATTTATAGATTAAACAAATAGACTCTAACACCAAAGAATTGCTTATCCAATCACACAGTAAGTGCAAATCTGAGAGCAAAGATGATTGATTGGATGGTTGAAGTACTCACTTCATATAAGTGCAAAGATTAAACCTTCTTTTTAGCTGTCAAATTGATGGACTCCTATCTATCTAAAACAACTTAAAAGCATATCCCTCAAGATTTACATTTAGTTGGTGTGACTACTATGTTTATGGCTTGTAAATTCGAGGAAATCTATCCAGTGAAATTATAAATTGTACACGAGAAGATTGCACACAAGAAACTAACCAAGGATGAAATTAAAGACAAAGAAACCAATATTCTAAGCACTCTAGACTTTAATTTAGTTGGCATTACTGTACTAGATGTCATTACAATTGTACTCTCCATATTGAATATGAATCAATAGTTATATTAAATAACACTGTATCTTGCTAAATTAGTAAATATGTATGATTTATTTTAGGCACTTTATGACTATGAATTTGTCAACAGTCACACTTATGCTCAAATTGCCTGTGCTGCTTTGATTGTGAGCTCTAAGATTGTAGAGCAAATTGATTAATCGCTTTCATCCGAGGTAGTAATACCATTGATAGTTTCAACTTTGAAAATGGACAACGCTGATGCCATGGAATCAGCCAATAAATTATTGAGTGTAGCCAAAGGATTTGAAAAGCAGTATCCGAATCTGGAAAATTTAAAGAAATTTAGTAAATTTCAAATGTCAGATATTTTAAAAACCTAACCTTGAATATATATGTATATATTACTTTTATATTAATATTATTTTTAAATGGTTAAATTGGCTTCCAATAGAAGTCCGATGGTGAAAGCCATCGATTCTACCTGGAGCATAATTCGGACTCTATATTTTGCGGTGATTCTCTTCCTTTTCACCTTAATTGGTATGAAGAAGGAATCAAATAAGTATACGAAGGAGGAATTAAATTATATTATTGATGATAGTAATGATTGCAGTTGATTATTTATAGAGATGCCTTTCAAGCGGAAACCTAAGGATGACGACGATGATGATGGTGGAAAGGAAGGAACTAAGCCAAAGATTGTCAGAGGGCTGGGAGGAGGAGCTGATTGCAAGAGCTGAGGCTGAGCTGCACTTTTAATAAAACAAAGGATTTTATAGTAGCACACACAAGAGCTACTAGTATGACGATTTTCTTAAGAACTCCAGACTAGTTGGAATTAAGGAATCTGAGCAATAAAAACCTTTGTTTTTAATATATATTTATTTAAACATACTATTCTTAATATGTGAGTATTATTTTGTGATTATAACACTCCTCTATTATTAAATAAAGAGCTCGCATTATGGACAAACTATTAACATAATGAAGCCATTTTATATTATCTGGTCAACAGTTTAAAATGTAGAATTCTAAGAAAATTGGAAAATTCGGAAATTTAAATTGGAGATTGAGATCGAAATGTGTAAATATCATCAAGTTCTGAGAAAAGGTTAAGGCAAAGGGTAAAATTAAGGGTAGGATGAGATTGGTTGAAAAGGGTAGGGACTGGTGGATACTGAATCGAATTCCTGCTTGATTTAAATTTAAGGCTTTGGGTCCAGAATCTATTTGAACACCATCTGTGAGGAGAGCAACAGATTTTGCAAGAGCTATTGTTGGACTAAACTGGCTTTTTTAATTTCTGAGGTGAGAGCCTGGGTGAGCTTCTGGTATTGGGATGATATGAGTTATTTTTATTCGTTAGCCAAATTTAGTTGATCCATCAGAGATGGCTGCTTGTCTACGTACATCTAGAATTTCGGAATTGAGTATTACTTAAGTATTATCAGATTGAATGCACAATGGTTGAACTTAGAGCGTGAGGGGATTCAAGACCGATACTTTGAGTATGCTCTGCACTTTGAGCTTCTTTTTTCTGGTTTCCTTTTTTCCTATACGGCCATCCTATTCATATGCTTTTTGAATCGTTCTCACTGTACAATACTTTAAATTGAGTTTGTTGGCTACCTAGAAATGAATAGTGAATAAACAATATATATAGTAGTATATATAGATGAATTATTTAGGGAAAATGGCGAATACCTCTTGGAGTGATAATTTTTCCCTTATTAGCAACTCTAAGACAATTTTGCGCTATTCCTTATCTATTTTTTGGTATTTCTTGGTCTGCTTTAGTATTTCTGAACATTCTTGTGATTTAACCATATTTATGAAGAATCTTTTGCTTTTATTTATATTTATAAAAATATTTTAAAAATCAAATCTGCTTTTAATTTAAAATAAGATTCAGCCTTGGTTATAATCAAAAACATTAAAATGTTTCAAATCACGATATTATACATATATGTAATAAATATAATGCATTTCTTCTATTTTAAATCTTAAGTCAATATTTATTAGTTATAATTTAGAAAATGATCAAACACAAATATAGTAATTCAATTTATTGAAGATAAATCTAACTTAGGTTTTATTTGCTTGTGTTCGCTAATACTCTTCTTCTATCTGTTAGCATTGTAGGTAATTTTTTATTTGTTGCAAATAATATTGAAATTATTTATGAATTGTCTACTATGATCGTAATTCTATTCAGTGATTTATTGAGAGATTGTCTTTGAGTTTAATCTGATTTATTCTTTTTTTAAAATTGAGCAAGTGTCAATAGTATTACTGAGATAACTTTCTTTGTCAAAGGGCAGTTTTTGTTTCCGAATAAAATCAACTAATTTTAGCGGTTATTTGCTAGAAATGGTTTGAGTCTATGTCTCATTAGTTTCTTGTATCTTCTTCTTAAGAAAAGTATTCTCTTCCATTAGATGCTTTTTTTACTCTTATAACGTTGCAATTTCCTTTTTTAATTGCTAGTAAATGAATTGAAGTTATACGTGTATTAGGTTCTGATTCACAGTATTTTAATGAAATTGCTCTAATTGCTGTTAGAGTTGTTCACAATAGAGTTTAATTTATTGTTCAGTCTAATGATGAGAATGATGAATTTACTCTAATATGTTTTCTGATTTCACTCTCATACTTTTAAACTTACTTCTCAAGTTCCTGATAATCTTGATTCTGTAAATTTTGGAGTATGGCACCTTTGATATACAGCAATTGGGCATCCAAGTCTTTGAAAGAGTCTGAAGAGGGTCCTTCTAACTTATAAATGTGGTATATTACTCATACCAGTTCAAGTATGTCTTTTAATATATTTTAAGACATTTTAATTATTTAAGATATGAATAGACGACTTGTGCAAATGTTTAGCAAATAATTCGGCTAAGTACCAAAATTCTTTGCCTCGAATGAACAGCCAATTATTTTGAGAAATGAGAAGTCAGGCTATTATGTGAATCCAGAAGCTGTTGCTCGTCGAATGATAAAGGTGATTAGTTTGCACGACGACGTAAAGAATCCCTCTGCAATCACTTTGCAATCCACATGGACTGACATCGGTTTGTCAGACATGGCTTACGTAGAAGTACCCCAAAAATATAAAATATATAGGTTATGGTTGAGGTTGAGAGAGAGTTTGAAATAGAATTTCCAGACACTGATGTGGAGTGTTTCAGAACAGTCAATGATGCAGTAGAGTATGTGGCAAGGAGCTTCTTCGCTGTTTGATTTAAAAGCACATAAAATAAAATAAAACACAATGCTAATATTGTTAATAATTGGTGTGAGTGCTGTCAATGTCACGCTCTTCTCAGCTGATTCCGCACTCTACTCTCCCCAGTTTTGTCAGGTGCGCAATTCGAATCGGGAAG